TTATTTTCTTTACGTTTGGGATTCTGTCGAGAATCCTTAATCATAGGTAATGTTAGGATAGTCTGAGCCATGCGCAGATAGAGGTGAAACATGCATATATTACACGATATGTATAATTCGTAGCGGTCATCCGCGTGCGTACCACAATTATCCACCCCCTGTAGCCACCGCTTGAGGTATTAATTGGTGCGATTATTGCTTGACATTTCGTGTTCGACGCATTAATTGCCGCGATGCCCTTGTTCGTGTCGAATGCGGGCTTGGCCGAAATCCTCGCAAGAGGTGAAAACCGCGTGAGCCGCGAGCTGCTCGAGTTCTCAGGCCCCTAGTCCATCAGCAAGCACAACGATTTGGCATTCCTATACGGGTGGCGTGAAAACGATGAGTTGTAATCATAAGACATTTATTAGTCCTGTCCAACTGTACGATTTGGCGTTCGCATACTGCGTACTGAGAAATGGCCTGAGCAAGGGAATCAGTCACGTGGGAAGAGCCGGACCCAACAACAACTTTGACGACAGCGAGCATAACTATCGCGCAATTATCGGGCCCGCATTCGACACAGACAAGGAAATAGTGGCGATTAATGAGTCGAACACCAATTAAGACCCCAAGCGGTAGCTAGAGGATCGGATAATTATAGTACGCACGCGGATGACCGCTACGAACTATAAATACCATGCAACCTGTACATGCTTCAACCCCATCTGCGCATGACTATGACTATGATACCATTACCTATGATTAAGGATTCTCGACAGAATCCGAAACTTCAGGAAAATAAAACTCTTGTCCAGTGATCGCATCGTCTGCTTCATCTATAAAGTTTTGTCTCTTTATCTCTCTAGATCAATTATGGAGTACGCGCAGACCAGGTCTATAGCCATGCCCGCCACTTCGTCCAATTCCCGCACCAGACAACTGCCCCGGCTCGGATAATTTGTTGACGCAGGTGAAGGAGAAGGCAGTCTAACGTCGATCCTCAGTACATATTCCCCCATATAAACAATTTGACGCGTTTGAAGATATCATGCTGCACTAACAGCCGGGGCTATGGTGGTTACTGAATGACAATATTACTCGGACCTCGCAGTCAGCCTAATGTGGATTTGTGTGAAGCAGCCGACTGGTGGACTGAGAGCTAGGCTAAAATGGCTCCTTCTTAATGCTACCTATATGATATTCCCCCTCCGTGGGATTGGAGCCAAGTATGGCGATACGCTTAGAGGGGGGGGACTCCCGCCACACCAGCCACCTTCGCCCCCCTCCACTGCCGGTCGTCATAACTTGTTCATGACAGCGGGTCCAGGTGGAGAAGAGGGTGCGGTAGATGGCCTGAAAGGCCAATTACACGATAATCTAATTCAAACGAAGGTCCTCGTCCCAGGGTCACTTTACCGCGGAGCACCTGGT